GGGTCCATCAGGGCAACCTAGGGGGAGGGGGGCATCGGAATGCAAAATATGATCATCACACACACACACACACACACACACACACACACACACACACACACACACACAAATAAATCATTATACACTGTATATCATTGCATGATGTGGTCTCATACTCAACAATGCTACATTTGGACGTCTATATCACAAGATCTTCACTTTAAGGTGAAACCTGACAGTTGGATTTCTGAACTCAAATTTGCATGGTCCGGTACATTAAAATTTGCTAGTACATTTGTATCAGTTTAAAAAGTCACACCAGCAACATGTTTAAGAACCCACCAGTCTTGATAAGAATAGCAGTATAGAACTGAATGTATTAATGCTTGTAGCTACAGACAACCATAGGCTGGGTGCCATTCTCATAGTTACCACTGCTGGCTCCCCATTTTTGAATACTAGTAGCCAGTGTCAAGAGAGCCGGGAGTAACTCTGTAGGATGGCACCGAGACTTTATCCCCACGCAAAGTTCCATGGTAGCCAGCGACAAAAGGGAGCCGGCAGAAACTATGAAGGCTAAAATAACCATAGAAAAGACACTACTGTACCAGCTGCAGTGGCATACTGATTAGGAAGAGATAAAAGTACCAGACTTGTTCCTCACCATATTGAACTCATCATCCTCCCAGTTCTCCCCCTCCACCTTCTTGGCGATCTTGGTCAGCTTTGTCCGCACCTTCTTCGCCTCTCTCTGTGGAACCGTGACCTTGATACGCATCTGAGCGCGCTCAATGTTGATGGTCTCTGTCTCCTTCAACTTCTTGATCACTTCCAGAGCCTGCAGAGGGGAAATTTATTAGGACAAAACATGATGGGAAACTGGAGAAGTACCATACCAAGTTACTGCTGTGTTTGATAAATAACATATCACGTTACTGCTGCTGTATGTGTAGTTGGATAATTACTAGTACTACAAAGCCAAAAACTATAGCCTGGTTACCAGACCTCCTTTAACTCCCAAAACTATAGCCTGGTTACCAGACCTATTTTAGCTCCCGAGTCTATATCCTCTCCGCAGACTTGGGAGCTACACTAGGTCTGGTAACCAGGCTATAGTTTTGGGAGCTAAAATAGGTCTGGTAACCAGGCTTAAACTGTAAAAAAAACTTATCTTCTGGACAAATGTTTGGTCACAGCTACCATGTAATAGCAGAACCTGAGCAAAGACCCAAGAAACAGTAAAACTATTTCTCTTTCCCTTCATTGGGAAGATGAATACAAGAACAGCACACACCTGTTGTTTAGTGTTCCTGGTTGGTTTGACAGAGAAGTGCACGTCCTTCATGGCCTTCTCAATCAGCCCGACGGTGTACGGTCTCTTTGTGTCCGGGTTGACGCACATGTCTGCAACCAGCGTAGCGATGTCCTTGTACATGGACTCCAGCTGGGCCTGACGCTCCTTCTCAGATACCTGCAGCTCACCTTTCTTCAAAATCTAGAAATGAGAAATATTTGTTATTTAATTGCAGTTACTACTGCTTGGAAATTTTGTTTCTACTGAACTGGTTTGAACAAATGTTTGAAAATATCTACAAGGGCAGAAAAATTGCATCCAGCATCTGCCTTTACGTCAATTTGCATGAGGGACAAAATTTTGCCCAATCTGTCATCTCTGATGGACAAAATCAGAGTGAAAAGAGATGTCATTAATCTAAGCTAAAAATCTACCAGCAAAATTTGTCCTATAGGAAATAGTATTTTAGAGTATCAAGATTTCAAAATTCTCACAGGGCAGCGTGCTACCAGACCCCCTAGGATTGTTGTGCCTTTGGTGCTTGACATGATGCAAAAGAAAATTGAGAATGAGATGATGATCAGGCTAGAACACTGCCACGTTCAATACATTACTAGTATGTTACTACATTGTTTTTACACAAGTCTAATGAAGGGATGTATTGACTTACCTGTTTACAGATCTCTGTCTGGTCCTCTGTGCCAAAGGCCTTCACCATGTCTTGTTTCTTGGCCACCTCCCCCTTGGACACATTTGTGAACACAGTGTGGGTTTGAAGAACTTCATCTATGTCTTTCTCTCTGAAAAATATACAAGGATAGTAAGATATGAAAAAGCTGCTTTATCTTGTCAGTTCAATGAAACAGTCAGATCAAATAGAATATTCCACTTGCGCATATTTCATCCATTCAAGATTTGCATGTGTCCTATTTTGAACAAAACAAACAAACCAAATATCATATCAACATCATTAAACAATACCAACTTAATTGCTTCACAGTACATTTGTGCTTCTACACGTCATATTATGCATATTCCTCATAACTAATATATGTGTTATCGACTCCATTATAGCCTTATATTATGCTTCCCAAGAAATTTGATATGAGTTTGCTGGGATATCCCAAGCCCTTCCTGCACTTGACCTCACCTCGCTACCTACTTTTCTACCTGCCCCCCAGGAGTTACCTACCCTCCAGGTTTGGGATGTATACAAGCGACTCCTGGCGGTCAAGACAAGTAAAGCACCCGGCCCTGACAACTTTCCTCCAAAGTTACTACGCGAGTTCGCCTGCGAACTTAGCGCTCCCTTCTGCCATATCCTTAACGCCTCCTTTGCAGAGGGTATTGTGCCTGCCCAGTGGAAAGAGGCAGTTGTCGTGCCCATCCCTAAATCCCAACCACCGACACTCGACCAATTAAGACCAATTTCCCTTACCTCACAGTTTTCCAAGATCGCTGAATACTTTGCATTGAAATGGATCTTAAATGACATTGAATTCGACAAACGACAGTTTGGAAGCTTGAAAGGGCGCTCAACTGTACATGCCATTGTCAGCCTGATCGACAGTCTCTGCAAGGCAACGGATAAACCCTCCACTTCCTGTTCTATCTTGGCTACGGATTTTTCCAAAGCCTTTGATAGAGTGCACCACAGCACAGTGATAACAAAGCTGATACACAAAGGACTGAGACCTGAACTACTACCGTGGATATGCGACTTTATCACCAGAAGGCGACAAGTCGTTCGCTACCGTGGGGCTCTATCCGGATGGGAATACTTGTCGTGTGGAGTGGCACAAGGGACACTGCTCGGACCTGTACTGTTCCTAGTGTTAATCGACGATGCTTGTCATGACGCCAACAGCCCCGCGTGGAAGTACGTCGATGACATGAACTTGTTGGAGACTAGAAGACTCAATCAGCCGTCCAGCCTACAAAATGACCTTGATGACTTAAACACCTGGTCCAAGAGAAATCACATGTTGTTGAACAGTAGTAAATGCCTCGTCATGCATGTGACCTTTTCCCGGAATCCACCACTGCTGCCACCGCTACAAATCGATGACGTGACTCTCCCTGTCGTACCTTGTCTGAAAGTACTTGGCGTGATCCTCCAAAACAACCTTCACTGGGATAAACAGGTCAATCACATGGTGGGGAAAGCGTCTAGAAAGCTCTACTTCCTAAAACGTCTCAAAAGGTTCAACGTCTCCCACAGTGACCTCACAACCATTTACACAGGATATATTAGACCTATCCTGGAGTATGCAGCCCCTGCCTGGACTCCTGCCCTCACTAAAGCCCAGGAACGCAGCCTTTAGCGTGTTCAAAGGCGGGCTTGCCGCATCATCCTGGGAACCACCTACACAGGATATGACAACGCACTACAACACCTCGGATTGTCATCACTTGCCGAGAGAAGAGAACTGTTGTGTGTGAAGTTCGCTAGGACACTTGTGAGGTCAGAGTACAGAGTCTGGCTACCTCCACAGAGATCACAAATAACTGGCCGTAGCACTAGAAACAGCGAGATGCTAGACTGTCCGAGAGCAAGAACGAATAGATACAAGAACTCGCCCATACCGTTTATGGTCCAGCTCCTTAATAACCATGGACTGAACCCCTGACTGTTGTTTTTCTAATATGTAGTACACTGGTTCCGTATCAAATGTTGTCCGGGAAATTTATAATAATGAATAATGTATGGAACATGTATTTTTATTGGTTTGGTAATCGTACGCCTATATTGATATTGATTGCAAACCTGTAGTTTTTAATATACCAATGTTTTGTAAATTGGTCTACAATTCAGTTGTTTTTAACTGCGAAGAACCAATAAATCCATCTTGAATCTTGAATCTTGAATATGAAATTGAATTTGTCCCAAGGACATTAAATAGAATGTCATAAATTTGATTGCCCTATTATAAACAGGGGAAGTATGGATACGGTCTGTTATGGTATAACGTATTAATCATCTTGATATAATAATTGTCAATGGTGTATAAGATCTCTGTCACGTCTACGTTTGTAATATTAATAATGCAAACTGGCACCAAGCCAGAAAAGTGGCTGCAATTGCAGACATGTTCTATTTATATGTGACACGCCCCTTCCCTGCAAATTAGCTAGTATTGTCTGACCTGCTTGCCAAAACTGTTTGTTTCTGTTAAATTTCCTACCCTAACAGAAAAACAACGCGCGTACTTACACACCACTTCTCCATCCCATCACCTTGTTTTTGTAACAGGCGATCTCGAATCTTTTCCCTGCCCTCTTCTGTCTCACGACTGCGACGTTCGTCAGTCGAATCTGGTTCGTCGGCGTGAATATCGACATTTCTAAAAGTTCACCTGAAGAGAAAATGAACCCTCGAAAACCTCCAGGCGACTGTCAAGTCGCAGTTTGGAACAGAAAGGCAGAGAAAGTTTGCAAAATTTGTAAAACTCAGCTGGTCGTTGCAATCACTGGCGCAATCCGGAAGTACTGCCCTGCATGTCAAAGGTCACTACATCGCATCAAAATGAAACATAAAATATCTACAATATGTTTTTAATAACCCATTTTTAATAGCTAGAAGTAATTAAAAGCATCAAATTAGCTAATAAAATATTTGCATATTAAGTAAATAGCGTTAGATGTAGTGGTAAATGGTATCTGTGTTCATTGGGAGAAGAAAAATATTTTTTGTTGTTGAGCGTTTGTTCGCGGTTTTAAGCATCAACATGGCTGGAAGAAGAGACACGTTTTTGGTGGCAGTGTTGTGTGGAAATGTTGTTATGCTGCTGGCAGGAGTTGTGTTGGCGCCTGAAACTACTACAGGTAAGAGTTAGAGGTATATAGAACTGAATACACAGCGATGTGGTTGGAATTACCCATGCAAAAGCCTTGGGTTCGTGGTATTGCTTGGAAGTTGGATGTAACAAATTACATAGGACAGATCTAGGCCACTCCCCCCTATTATTATAGACCATGGCATAATGTTGTTATGCACTTATGATGATGCACTTATTTTGCATGCACAAAACACCCTGTGTGCATGTAACATAGGTTTTACCATTGCAGCAATCATGAAATTGAATAGCTCTAGGCTTGTCATAGCTTCAGTGTATGTTTCTAGACTTCAATACTCATATTATTGTTATTAACGTAATAATACCCAGTCTGATGTTGGCATCATATTTGGGGGTGACATAATCTTTACAGTTAGAACCTACTATTGACAGTGTGGGATGTTAAACTGTTATCACTTATTCTCAAGAAACATGTTAATACTAGTACCTGGTCAATTTTTTAGAAGTCCAGACATGATATATTTACACATGGTACATTCTCAGACTAGAATGTAGACATTTACTTTAGACAAAATGGTTGGAAAGACAAAGTTAAACAAGAATTCAGAGACATCATACCTCCATGAAATAGTTAAGGGGGACAAAACACACACCACTTAATCCTGACAGGAAAAGTTATCTGTCAGCAAAAATTCAAGACCATAACATGGACAAATGATACAACTGTAAGTTCTGCTGCAGTACCAAGGTCAGCCACCAGGGGGCCCATATTTGACCTTTGTTTTGTCTTCCTACGAGCTATCAACATACCAAATATCATCACAATTCATAAAGGTGTTCTGAAGTTATGCTGACTACAAATGTGCAGAAACACAAACACGCACACAGACAAACAGACACACAGACACAGCAAAAACAATAGGTCCATTTTTCATGGAGGTAATCATGTTTCTTGGCACTCCCCAGCTGACAGAAGAGACATGTACTCCCTGGTACAGTGGCTGTGGGGACTACTGCTGAACATGCCCACAGCTGTGGTACTGGCCATGGTGGTGAATCTGTTACTGCTGCTCAGACTAGTCTACACCAGGGGGAACAGCAAGGAACAGGTAATACACAAACATCAGGACTGTCTTAGGTCACACCATGGCCACACCAATTTGATTAGTTGCTTCTCAGATTTTTTTCAGAAAAAATATGAAGTGTAAGGGTGAAAAAAAAGACCTTGGCATCCTCTGATAGCCCCCAAAAGTGCCCTGAGTTCAACATACCAGGCTTGTTTATACATGTAAGTCAGAGAATAAATTTTTGAATTTTAAAACCTTTAAATCAAACCAATGTGTAGATGGATAAACTGTAACAGCTTGGAAGGCAAAGAGCTTTCTTCCGTTTGGACCAAAATATGTGCATTTTGGAGTTGATTCAGAACCCGAATCCTTTTTATTTGCAAATCAGAAAAAAAATGAAGTGGACAAATCCAAGAGCCAAATGATTAAATTAGTGTGACCTTACAGTAGATTTTGGTCTCCTTACCCAAGTTTCATGCTGTGGAACATATCTACACATGTATTGATAGACCCTTTTAATAACCCTCTTTTTTCTTGTAGGTTGTCTATGTTAATAAGGATGTGGCTTGCTACAAGACCTCAACTCAAGATATCCCGACTCCACATCTTAGGATTTTCTATGGCACACAGACAGGGACAGCCAAGGTATCATTTCCATCTGTTGAACTTCAAGGGTTGTAAATTTGTTCTCATAAATGCCATTGAAACTACATGTATAGTAGTATATTAGATATTGTCCTTTTCTCAGAAGTGTTATGAAGATTGTCTTGATCTTAGACTTTCCAAAGTGTCTTATTTTGATGCTAAGCATTTTTTGTCCACGTTAAGCTAAATATACTAATGTGATATTAGTAGTAAATGTGTATCACTTTTCAGCATTTTGCAGAGCTGCTTCATACAGCAGCCCAGGACAGAGGACTGACATGTGGGGTTACTGACCTTGCAAAGGTGACCGACCCAGAGGACACATTCACAGAGGAGGTTTGTGCTTTATAAATGGTTTGGTTTGGTTGTATTAGGACAGGTTTTACTGGTGTTCAACTGCCAATGTCAATGCAATGGCTGTACTGGAGAATGTAGTGTGAGTAGTCCAGTGGAAAGCAACCCTGCCTCTGGACCACGAGGTTGGGAGTTTAAATCCCGGCTATTGTCACTCACCTGACGTGCATATTACTGGAGGAGTTTCAGTTCTTAGGATAGGACATTAAGCCCATTGTGGTCCACTGTTCGTTGTGCTTTTCAAGAAGAGCTAGGGGAATTTCCCTGGTACAATGAACCTGTAAATATTGTACATAGTGTCTGTCTTGTCTGTCACAACCAGTGGGAGATTAGCTTTTCAGTGACCTAAAACTTGAGATCACTTTCCTTTTTTTCATGGACAATGATAAAAAAAATTGGATACTTAGCTTCTTAATAAAAGTGCTTTTTGAAAGCTTCAGATATTTTTTTTTCTTATATTTGCAGATGGAGGCAGGATCTATCTGTGTCTTCATACTGTCCACATACACAGATGGCCAGCCGCCTGAGGCTGCAGCATGGGTGTGCAGGTGGCTGGAGGAGTCTGCCACTGACTTCAGGGTCTCAAAGACACTTCTGGGGAAACTTCAGTATGCCGTATTTGGGCTGGGGAGTTCAGAGTATGGAGACAACTTCAACAAGGTAAGGAATGACAAACCAGAAGTTTCTGGTTCCTATCTCAGAATGCCTTACTGCCCTTTTAAGAATTTCTAATGCCGACTTTCTTGTAGCTATTATATATGTGAACTGCAAAATGTCACATGCCTACTATGTAGCTGTCAGGTTAGGATTTATATTATTTATAGTGTGAATCATTCTTATCATTAATTTTTGTGTGGGGGAATGTAAATAAAGGTTTTTGTTCCTAGAACAGTTACTACAAGTTTGTATGTCATATTTTAGGCCAGCAAGAAGTTAGAGCAGTGGCTGAAGACCCTGGGGGCACAGGAGGTGTTCCCCAGGGGGGTGGGGGACCAGAACGTGGCCGGCAGCAGACATGGTAGTCTGGAGCAGGACTTCACTGTGTGGAGCAACCAGATGCTGGGAGCTGTCAGGAACTGTCAATCACAGCAGGGAGGTGGGTGTGGCCATGTCCTGTCAATCACAGCAGGGAGGTGGGTGTGGTCATGTCCTGTCAATCACAGCAGGGAGGTGGGTGTGGACATGTCCTGTCAATCACAGCAGGGAGGTGGGTGTTGTCAGGTCCTGTCAATCACAGCAGGGAGGTGGGTGTGGACATGTCCTGTCAATCACAGCAGGGAGGTGGGTGTGGTCATGCTCTGTCAATCACAGCAGGGAGGTGAGTGTGGTCTGAGGTCAACTAGTTTGTTTTATTGTTATTGTGTTTGTTGTTATTACTAATTGCTGTGTCTGACACTATGTCTTGTATTTCCAGGTTGTTGTAAACAAAGTACAGATTCCTGTCAGTGCAAAGGTAGTGACAATAAACAAGGTGAAGATAAGGAGGTGAGTTTAGTTTAGTTTAGTTTAGTTTAGTTTAGTTTAAGCCCTACATATACATTCAGATAAACAGATTTCCAAAGTTTTATGGCACTATTACCACACAACTCAAGTAAGTAGAACTGGCCATCACAGATCACTTTAGATATTTGTATTTGGTACTCTGAGTACTTATTTAATATACAAAGATAAATGGTACAAGAGAGATAGGCACATAAGCATTGTGGTTTAGATGGTTGCCTTGTTTCCCTCTTGCAGGTTCAGTATGAAAGCTCCAGTGATGACGGTGGTAGCCTGAGTGATGATGATGGTGCACTGGTGGATGTGGAGGACCTAGGAGCTGTCATGAGTAAGATGAAACAAGCTAAGGTAGGGACATCCTGTCATATATAAGAAGACTAAGAAGACAAATGTGCTTTCTAATTCTAGCGCTTTTGTCTAACAGTGTCAAAGTTTCTGCAGCACAATCTTTGTATGTGTAAGAACAGATTTGTTGAATGTAATCATATGATCACTCTACTTACAATGTAGTACAAAGAATCCCTACTACATGCTAAGAGGTGGAAGAGAAAAAAATGTGTGAAGAAAGATTTTTATAGAAAATGTTGACAGTTTGTTGGAGGCTTGTACACCCAAGCTCCTCAGTTTCATGCATTTGTTCTTTAAGATACCTACTTGAATATAGTGACTTGTCTTTTCATCACTATAGAAGCAGAGACAAGAGGAGGAAGAAGCAGCAGGGAGAGGACGTAGGAAGATAACAGTCAAGAAGAAGGGAGGAGAGCCGAAAGAAATGATCACACCTGCTCTGAAGAAGGCTCTAGAAAAACAAGGTGGATTGTGGCTGATTACATTCAAACTGTACAGGAAGCAGGCTAGGACCTTTTAAAGTAGAAAAGGCTTAGGCAGTGTAGGAGAGAGCTGAATATGAACTGACATAAAAAAAACTAGAAAATAAAATAAGGTAGCATTTGCAAAATAAATGTATAATGTTTACCTTCATCACGTGGTCTAGACTAACAAACTACTGCTCTGTTTATTCTTACTCAAACACATTCATATAATATTATATGGTGGCCAGCCCCTCCAGCTCTGTTATGCAACTTGCTACATAATGTAACTCAACACCACAGGGTGTTTGGTACAGTTATCATGGTGACAGAGCTCTGGTTAACCCAATTTGTTTTGAGAAGAAGAAGAAGAAACAGAGCAAAAACAATATGTTTTCCTTCTATGAACTTCAAGGTAATATACATTGTAGTTACAATTGCTTTAAATGAGAAATTCTCTCACACACTTTTTTTACTCCTACATGTAGGTTACAGGTTGATTGGCAGCCACTCAGGGGTGAAACTGTGCCGCTGGACCAAGTCCATGTTACGGGGGAGGGGGGGCTGCTACAAACACACCTTCTACGGCATTGAGAGCCACAGGTGTATGGAGACCACCCCCAGCCTGGCATGTGCCAACAAGTGTGTCTTCTGTTGGAGGTGAGAATTGACAGGCTGTGAAACTTTCTACAAAGGGTTAGTAGTATATTCCTCAATCAGTGACTCTTTTGAAAGGTAGAAACACATACCTCCAAATTTTCGATTTCCACTGTACATCTTGATCACGGAGTGACCTAGTCTCGCGAGAACACGAGACTATATAGCTAGGTCGAGACTTGTGTGGATCTTCGGCCTCTTCTGGCCTCCTTGCCTCCTTGTGGAGTAGGGGTAGGTAGGACTTGGGCAAC